CATATCAACAACATACCTCGACCTTACACCGGATACCAACATACCTCGACCTTACACCTGATATCAACATACCTCGACCTTACACCTGATATCAACATACCTCGACCTTACACCTCATGTCAACATACCTCGACCTTACACCTGATATCAACATACCTCTACCTTACACTTGATATCACATACCTCGACCTTACACCTGATATCAACATACCTCGACCTTATACTTGATAGCAACATACCTTGCCCTTACACCTCATGTCAACATACCTCGACTTTACACCTGATATCAACATACCTCGACCTTACAAGTGATATCAACATACCTTGACCTTACACCTGATATCAACATACCTCGACCTTACACCTGATATCAACATACCTCGACCTTACAAGTGATATCAACATACCTCGACCTTACACCTGATATCAACATACCTAGACCTTACACCTCATGTCAACATACCTCGACCTTACACCTGATATCAACATACCTCGACCTTACACCTCATATCAACATACCTCGACCTTACACCTGATATCAACATACCTCGACCTTACACCTGATATCAACAACATACCTCGACCTTACACCTGATATCAACATACCTCGACCTTACACCTGATATCAACATACCTCGACCTTACACCTCATGTCAACAACATACCTCGACCTTACACCTGATATCAACATACCTCGACCTTACACCTGATATCAACATACCTCGACCTTACACCTGATATCAACATAACTCGACCTTACATCTGATATCAACATACCTCGACCTTACACCTGATATCAACAACATACCTCGACCTTACACCTCATGTCAACATACCTCGACCTTACACCTGATATCAACAACATACCTCGACCTCACACCTAATGTCAACAACATACCTCGACCTTACACCTCATGTCAACATACCTCGACCTTACACCTCATGTCAACAACATACCTCGACCTTACACCTGATATCAACATACCTCGACCTTACACCTGATATCAACATACCTCGACCTTACACCTCATGTCAACAACATACCTCGACCTTACACCTGATATCAACATACCTCGACCTTACACCTCATGTCAACAACATACCTCGACCTTACACCTCATGTCAACAACATACCTCGACCTTACACCTGATATCAACATACCTCGACCTTACACCTCATGTCAACAACATACCTCGACCTTACACCTGATATCAACATACCTCGACCTTACACCTGATATCAACATACCTCGACCATACACCTGATATCAACATACCTCGACCTTACACCTGATATCAACATACCTCGACCTTACACCTGATATCAACATACCTCGACCTTACACCTGATAGCAACATACCTCGACCTTACACCTGATATCAACATACCTCGACCATACACCTGATATCAACATACCTCGACCTTACACCTGATATCAACATACCTCGACCTTACACCTGATATCAACATACCTCGACCTACACCTGATATCAACATACCTCGACCTTACACCTCATGTCAACAACATACCTCGACCTTACACCTGATATCAACATACCTCAACCTTACACCACATATCAACATACCTCGACCTTACACCACATATCAACATACCTCGACCTTACACCTGATATCAACATACCTCGACCTGATATCAACATACCTCAACCTTACACCACATATCAACATACCTCGACCTTACACCTCATGTCAACATACCTCGACCTTATACCTGATATCAACATACCTCGACCTTACACCTGATGTCAACATACCTCGACCTTACACCTGATATCAACATACCTCGTGCTTACACTTGATACCAACATACCTCGACCTTACACCTGATATCAACATACCTCGACCTTACACCTGATAACAACATACCTCGACCTGATATCAACATACCTCAACCTTACACCTCATATCAACATACCTCGACCTTACACCTCATGTCAACATACCTCGACCTTACACCTGATATCAACATACCGACCTTACACCTGATGTCAACATACCTCGACCTTACACCTCATGTCAACATACCTCGACCTTACACCACATATCAACATACCGACCTTACACCTGATGTCAACATACCTCGACCTTACACCACATATCAACATACCTCGACCTTACACCACATATCAACATACCTCGACCTTACACCTGATATCAACATACCTCGACCTTACACCACATATCAACATACCTCGACCTTACACCACATATCAACATACCTCGACCTTACACCTGATATCAACATACCTCGACCTTACACCTGATATCAACATACCTCGACCTTACACCTGATATCAACATACCTCGACCTTACACCACATATCAACATACCTCAACCTTACACCACATATCAACATACCTCAACCTTACACCACATGTCAACATACCTCGACCTTACACCTGATATCAACATACCTCGACCTTACACCACATATCAACATACCTCAACCTTACACCTCATGACAACATACCTCGACCTTACACCTGATATCAACATACCTCGACCTTACACCTGATATCAACATACCTCAACCTTACACCACATATCAACATACCTCGACCTTACACCTCATGTCAACATACCTCGACCTTACACCACATATCAACATACCTTGCCCTTACACCTGATGTCAACATACCGACCTTACACCTGATGTCAACATACCTCGACCTTACACCTCATGTCAACATACCTCGACCTTACACCTGATATCAACATACCTCGACCTTACACCTCATGTCAACATACCTCGACCTTACACCTGATATCAACATACCTCGACCTTACACCACATATCAACATACCTTGCCCTTACACCTGATGTCAACATACCTCGACCTTACACCTGATACCAACATACCTCGACCTTACACCTGATATCAACATACCTCGACCTTACACCTGATATCAACATATCTCGACCTTACACCTGATATCAACATACCTCGACCTTACACCTCATGTCAACATACCTCGACCTTACACCTGATATCAACATACCTCGACCTTACACCACATATCAACATACCTCGACCTTACACCACATATCAACATACCTCGACCTTACACCTGATATCAACATACCTCGACCTTACACCTCATGTCAACATACCTCGACCTTACACCTGATATCAACATACCTCGACCTTACACCTGATATCAACATACCTTGACCTTACACCTGATATCAACATACCTCGACCTTACACCACATATCAACATACCTCGACCTTACACCACATATCAACATACCTCGACCTTACACCTGATATCAACATACCTCGACCTTACACCTGATATCAACATACCTCGACCTTACACCTGATACCAACATACCTCGACCTTACACCTCATGTCAACATACCTCGACCTTACACCTGATATCAACAACATACCTCGACCTTACACCTGATAACAACATCCTAACTTATCTTTACAATCTACATATTACCACACTTCCACACAACACCACACCATGTATTACAATTTTTTTAAATCTCGTTGAGAGGGTAATTATGTTGTGATAACCAACTACAGAAAGAGGAATAGATACAAAGAGAACACAGGTACTGCACGAGTAAGAAGCAGCAGTCTAGCAAATAAGCTTACGTGACAACCAAAACTTCGCAAATCGTGCAAGATATGCTTGTTTTACTAACATTCGTTGAGAGAAAAATAGCCCTGAATTAAACCTAAACTAAAACCGGGAGCTTTCCTAGACAGCATTGTGATATGCTGACAGCTAGTGGTCACACATACAGGTACACATATGTTACATAGTACAGATCTTTGTTCAAAGTCTATAGGCACAACACTTTTAAAGACTGAGCTAACCTAAAAATATCAGAAGAGAATAAGGCAAAGTTTGCACTGTTTCGGATATTTATTTAATGATGTATTTAAAATGTTTAAAAACTTTTCGAATCATTTATGTGTTTTCGTATAAGCATGAAATATATAGCTACATTTTAAATGTTGAAATCAGTGGCGTAGCCAGGATCGTCTCATGGGGGGGGGTCAAATTTTTACCCGGGGACAAAATTTTGATTTGCACCCCCCTCTCCCCTCAAACTTTGTTTTTATCTGCACCCCTAATACTTTCGATTTGCACCCCCCCCCCTCCCTCAAAATTTCGATTTACACCCCCTCATAGCTTATATATATACACCGAGGGGTCTATTGGGGGGGGGGGGGTTACGACCCCCTAACCCCCCCCCCCTGCCTACGCCACTGGTTGAAATAGAGTAGCAACATTTAGGATAAAACTTGTTTGAAAATTTTAGTTGTATTAAATCTAATGTGGACGGAGTTGGCTAAAGCATGTTAATTAACAACTTTGATATATGCAGCTTTTTCCTTAGCCGTAGAACAGAAGTCACTATGGTCGTCAAGATTAACTCTCCTAAATGTGCAGCGGGGCAGGTGAAGCAGAGTTAAACGGTAGCGATAAATGGATCACGTGATCAGCACTATACTTGGGGGTCAGGTACAGTTTAGTTTGACGCAGGGGTGTGGCGTGGATTGGAACGGGCTGTTAGTCATCTGTACAACCTAGATGTCATGTGATTTTTTTATTGCTAATTTCTATTTCTATCAAACATCCGGGGATTCCCTTTCCATTGGTGTAACATAATAGTTTACATCATATAAATAATTTGGTGTATTAAAACAAGTAAAGATTTCTCTATAGAACTAGCGATCTATTGTGCAGGCGAAGTAGAAATCATGTTTCTTGACCTCGGCATATGAAGAGATAGTGTGGTATGCAGTATGCCCAGCCGCCTTTACGTTCCATAACATGAGTTAGCTAACCATCAGAGACATTCTACTGACTTGAACCCAGATTGGAACTCGAGACTTGCGGGTTAGCAGGCTAGCCCTCTACCTATTATGTATATAACTAAATTTCCAAAGAGAAACTAGCAAAAAACAGGCATAATCTCAGACAGACAAATGGTGTGGAGACAGATCTACAACAAATTTGGAAGAAGACAGCAGACATGTCTTAATGGAAGAAAGCGGATAAATCAGGCCAAAGTTATCCGTGGAAGTAGACCCACAGAGATGAATAGATAATAAGTTCACCACAAACCTATTTTTAAATTTTAAAAACAAGGATTGGAAACATAATTTGAGCGCCGATTTTCCTTTAACCAATAAACAATGAGAATCACCTTTGCGTTTAGGTGACAAGAGTATTTTCTTCATCTATCCATCACTAACTAATATTTAGTTTACAAACGAGCGGTGTTTACAAAGCTATTTTAAACATCCTAACAGCTTTTGACACTCCCGGCGGAAGTTGACGTCACACAGGCTATAAATAATCGGGTTGGCTGCGCAGTTGAGAAAATACGTCCTGAGAAAGAGATTATAAAAAATCATTTCCGCTGTCCCCATTTCATCGTACTGGTCGGGGGAAGCGATTCTAAAAACACTCAGGATTAAGTAGGGGATGAAACTCAACGTGTAGACGGCGCTGATAGAAATCAACATGGCGGTTGTTCTGCCTAAAGGTCGCCTTCTTGGTTGATTAACAGTTTGTGTTGACGATTTACGTCGAGGAAGTCGTTGTATTGAGGGCCTTCCCGTGTGGACACTGCCTATTGAAGACGGTGACTCGATTTGGTTGTAAAAAACATCATCAGTTCCTTCGCTACTTGTTGGTTTCATCTCGATATTTAGATTATCCATGGGCGTTGATTTACTGTTCGAGCGTTTCCGGGCTTTAGATTTTAACGCTTCGGAAACGATATTCCTCAACCACTCCGTTTTCTGAAGGATGGAGTTGGTGGTGGACAACCTGAAGGACAACCCGTTTCCTTCTTTGGAGTCTTTGGTATCCGGTTCTGGCTCGGTGCTCTGCTGCGGACAGAAAATGATGTCGATCCATTTCAGGGCGGCAACCGGATCTTCGTCTGCGGTTTCCGGTTCCTCGCCTGTCTTGTCCACTTCCGGTTTTTCTCTCTCAACCACAAATATCCTCTCCTGAGAACCTTCGTTGTTTTGAATATTATTTTCAATATTCCTGTTACTTGAAATTGGGTTACTATTATTCACGTTAGTGTCCATTTTTATATCCGTATTATTGCTACGAATATCCGTTTTCGAATCTACATTTTGTTTTTCTCGATCGTTGTCTATATACTGACGGTTCGAAAATTCAACAGTATTGACCTTTGAACTCCCCGCGACTGTGTTACGTTTAGGTCGAGGTGAATTCTCCGCGACCGTCTCTGATTTAATCTCGTCTAGAGAAATCACATCTCCCGTGGTCGTCGCGTTCTTTAACTGAACTATGAAGTCTCCCATCATTGGGGTACTGACTTCCACACGGTCGTCCAAAATACGCACCGTGTATTTATCGGAACTTCCCAAAGTTTGCTCGTCCTCCACGTACGCAGCAATATCATCTTCAACACTTCCGAAATCCGCGCTAGGCGTACTGCAAACGGATTTTTCCGATTTCCTACGCAGCCCAAGCACTTTCGGTTTCACAGACGAAGGGATGTTATTGTTTGAATTCCCGATTTGATCAATAGAACTGGAGTTTGTTGTGTAGGATCTCTGTGGCACATTGGATGAAGATCCGTGAATCGCGCTGTGTCGCCACGCTTGAAGACCAATCCTCACGTACAGGCAAATAAAAGGCACGCAGCAGAAAATAAACAACACGAAAAAAAACCCTCCGTTCAGCAGCGGCCATATTGTGTTGACGTAGTCGTCGTCCGTGGTGCACTCGTACCCGGAAATGTCAGAGCGGGGTGTTTTTTTAGTCTGGCGCCCGTTGATGAGGACGTAGGGGATGGAGAAGAGGACGCCGAGGAAGGAGATGAGCACGCTGACGTACTGGGCTTGTTTGATGGTCGTCTGCCAGCCGTACGGCACACACACCTTCCTGTACCTGTGGTCATACAAAGAGTGTGTTAATGTTCACCTGTGTTCATGCAAAGTATGTTAATGTTTACCTGTGTTCATGCAAAGTATGTTAATGTTTACCTGTGTTCATTCAAAGTGTGTGTTAATGTTTACCTGTGTTCATGCAAAGTATGTTAATGTTTACCTGTGTTCATACAAAGTGTGTGTTAATGTTTACCTGTGTTCATACAAAGTGTGTGTTAATGTTTACCTGTGGTCAGAAAAAGTGTGTGTTAATGTCTACCTGTGGTCATACAAAGTGTGTGTTAATGTTTACCTGTGGTCATACAAAGTGTGTGTTAATGTTTACCTGTGGTCATACAAAATGTGGGTTAATGTTTACCTGTGGTCATACAAAATGTGTGTGTTAATGTCTACCTGTGGTCACATATATATTTCCAGAAACTTATATGGCACTTAATGGTGTCACCTCCCCCCCCCCCCCAGAGGCGTAGCGACCCTTCCCGGGGACAAACTTTCAAATTTTCGATTTGCACCCCCCTCAAACTTTCGATTTGCATCCCCCCCCCCTTTCAAACTTTCGATTTGCACCCGCCCTCAAGTTTTTCTCCATATAATTTGCTATTTTTTGCCTTGGTGTCACCCTCCTAAATGGTGTCACCCGGTGCGGTCCGCACCCCCCGCCCCCTCCCCTCGCTACGCCCCTGCTCTGGACTTGGATGACCCTAATACTGTTGGGTATAATAGGTATTTGCGGTTTAAATTAAAGTAAGCTTAATTAATTAATTAATTAATTATCATCATACTACCTTGCAACCATATCAAGAAATTATCTAGCAACCATATTAACAACCTACATAGCAACCATGTCAACAACTTACCTAGCAACCATTTCAACAAGTTCCCTAGCAACCATATCAACAACCATCCTAGCAACCATGTCAACAACCTACCTAGCAACGGCCACCGCCAACAAAACCATAGCTGAACTCAGCGTGCTGAAAGCGTTGAAGAACAACCTAGCCCGACACAAAGGTCTGTTGTCGAAGTCCCAGATGTGAAACATGTCGTAGATCTCACCTGAAAACAGAATCAACAAAAAGGTTTTTTTTAAAAAGTGTATAAAATTATAGTGCTATGTAACCTTGGTTTGTCTCCGGACGTATGAGAAGTCACTCAGTTTTAGGCTTACACTAAGCAAGTCGGCTTAGTCTAGTGATGACCACATTGATTTCTTTCAGTACCTTGGTCTGTGATTAACTCTAGTTCATCTACCCCAGAGCTAGACCACTAACCCGAAGGTCTCGAGTTCGAATCCGGGTTCGTCAGTAGAGCGTCCCCGAGTCCACTCAGCTCGTAGGGGTACTTTACTCGTTAGGAGAAAGTAAAGACGGCTGGGCATAGTGCTGACCACACTATCCCTTCATATGCCGAGGTCACAAAAACAGGTGAACTCTACTTCACTCGCCCCACGGACAGTCAGGTTCGAAAAAGGGAACTTTACTTTTACATCTATTCCAAGACAAATTCACTTTACAATCTTACTCCATAACCACCATAGGGCAGGTGAAGTAGAATTCATCTGCATCATCAGAGCCAGGGAATAGAACTCCAGTCTTTCGGTTTAGCAGTCATCTGCTCTACCACATATCCCCGTCCTCTAATTTTGTATCAATGGTTTGTTACCGAATCCCATCGGATAGCTTCATATTTAAATGATACGGTTTGCTCTGATTGTCATAGTAACTTACCCCAGTTATGCCCTTTAACTTACAAAGGTGTAGCCAAGATGTACATTATCTTCATTGATGTTGCGAAATATTTTTAGAACATTAAGAAAGGGGATATCGAAACGAAACAATTATTACGTTTTTTAACATTGCTTTCGGAGGGCTGGGGGGGGGGTGGCGTCAAATGACCTGGGTTCACCTGTGATCCTGCAGGGAGGAAACTGATGCCTGCCTGTGTGTGACGTAAATAACAAGGGCAAAACTATACCGTCTTTACCGCGGGCAGGGAGATAACACAGAAGATTACCTGTAAACTGATATTCTCTCCCCTGGTCTCGCCATCTCTCTCTGTCTCTCGTACTCACCACTTACCCTGGGGGTGTAAGCTTTCTATGTTATCCTATGGAGGGTGGGTGGGGTAGGGCTTCTTGTGTTTAGGGTACGATATAACGATTTCTCGCCACCCAGAGTAAACTAAAGGTTATTGTAAGCGTTACGTAAAGATTAGACTTTTAGATGAAAAGGAAAAGTTCAGCAATGAACATTGCGACTGACAAATGTTATACCGTATTACTTAAAACCATCACAATCACATATATATATATATATATATATATATATATATATATATATATATATATATATATATATATATATATATATATATATATATATATGTGTGTGTGTGTGTGTGTGTGTGTGTATATATGTATATGTATATGTATATGTATATATTTAATTATATAATATATATAAAGGCCTCTATATATGTGAATATATATAATGATGGAAAAAAATTTAACCCCCCCCCCCCCCTTGAGACGATCCTGGCTAATGAAACTTTTTAGAAGGGGGAGTATTAGACCACAAGGGACAAGCCTAACCTGGGATAGATATTTATAATTCTAGGGAGAAAGGGCAGCATTAGACTACTTCATGCAAGCTTTACCTGGTATAGATGTTTTAAAATACTATGGGAAAGGGAAGCAATAAACCAGGGTTGCATTACCTTGAATACATAAGACGGCCACAATATTAAATGACGCAATAGCTAGTACATAATCATTAGACAACGAGATTATTCCTTACCTGGGATACATAAGACGTTGGCCACGATATCAAATGACGCAATAGCCAGCACATAAATTCTTGTCGAAGTTTTCCGGAATCTCTGGGAGTACACAAATAGCACGAGGGAATTCCCGATCAGTCCTGTGATGGAGAGGGTGATAAGAAAAATCATAGCTGGGATCATGACGAGACTCGTATGCTGCTGTAGCTCCCCCAGGTACTGCAGCCGTTCCAGCTCCGAGATGTTGGGTACAGCTGTGATGTTGAGAGCCGGTAGAGTGGGGTATAGTGTGGTGGGGTCGGTCAGGGGTAGAGTTGTTGTGTTGAAGAGTCTGGCCACTGCTGTGGAGTTGGTCAGTCCGTATGACGTAAGGTCCGCTAGCGTTGATATGTCGGCGGTGGATGTAAAGTTCACTAAAGACGTGATATCGGAGAACGTCATGGTGAAATTTGACTCATCCGGTGCGACGTACACCGAGGGAGGGTCGTAAATGGTGTTGTTATCAAGCATTGTGTTGTTGTTGACTTCCGTGTCGTATTCATAATCAAACGAAGTACCGTTGTCAGTATCGTTGAAAAGACTGAAACTATTAATTGATGATGAATTTGAAAATTCTTCTGCGTTCGCCATTTTGTGTAAGTTATTCGACAAGAGTTATATCCCTTTTTTCTTAGTAGTCGCCCTTTAGTTATCCACAAAAACGATCTTTGTAGCTAAAATATCAGCTGGTAAGTTAAAGGTTTTGATGTAGATGCCATGTCAAGCGTTTATCTTTCACATTTTGTTCAGTGTAATCTGAATCTGTAAAATAGTAATACGATGATAAATATATTTGAAAGGATGATTTTTAATATAAACAATGACAAAACTAATTAAATAAGGATGTTAATCTTAATTAAACAAAACAAATTAATGAGTACGATGTTAATTTTTAAATCAACAAGTACTGTATTTTTGGCGTAATTACGGTAACCGCATAGGTCTCCCTTGTGTTCTAGGTGAATAAATTCAGGGGGAAACTATAAATATCATAAATGCCTCTATCCCATTCACGTTTATTTTCTATCCATCTATCTATCTATCTAATACTACTAAAAGTCAAGTTTGTTTACATGTTTGAATATTTATTTGTTTTTTTGTTTGTTTGTTTGTTTGCCTGATTGACTATCTCGCATGGTTGCACTCATCGTGGAAAGCTGTAAAATAGTATGTAGGTAGAGAAAAAATTTTGTTTTAAGACAGACTGTTAATCACACATTTATTTAAAGACGTTAATTAATTTATTGATTTATTCATACGCAGAGTAACCCATTTTTTTTAAAAAGTTTAGAACGACCACTACACTCGGCGGGACCGTGACGTCACAGTTTTTTGTTTACTCTTTAGTACAATAAAATGGCGGCGTCTATCGAAGAAAATTATGTTCCCATTCAAAAGTTTAACGCGTTCTAAATCTAATTTTCTGTCGGTCATAACTTTAACAATACGTCCGTTTGCTGTATTTATTACGTTCCAACACTTATATCAATTTTAAACTGTCTTTTTTCATTTAGTTTTACAATAAATTTCTCTAGATCTAAAGATCAGCTGTCGAAGGAAAGTTATGAATCTAGCCTAGATCTAGATCGAGCCTAGATCTAGGTCACTAGACTCAATGTAAATTCTAGATCTAGACTTAATGTAAATTCTACATCTAGAATCTATTTCAGGCCTTAATACATCTAGAATCTATTTCAGGCCTTAATTATTTTATATAAATCTTTGTTTGGCTAATTTAAGATAAAATTTAATTTGAAAGTTACTAGATTCTACTACTAGACTTAGATCTAGATCTATGCGCGGAGACTCAAAAGTATAGTATAAAAATTCATTTGTGACGTCACGAGTAAATAGCTAAGTTTGTAGCGTAGTCCGCTCTCATGCGGGTGGTACAGGTTCTAGACCAATATGTCAATGATATTTTTTTTTCAATTTTTTTTTTTTAGATGTGAATGATAAAGTTGCCTATCTGAACTTGGCAGGATACAGGGCAGGTGAAGTAGAGTTCATCTGTTTCTTTGTCCTAAGCATATGAAAGGATAGTGTGGTCAGAGACATGCTCGGCTGGAATCGTTTTTTAAACGATAAAAACATGTTGTCTGAGACTTGGCGGGACACTGGGCAGGTGAAGTAGAGTTGAGTAGGTCACATGTGACGTCAGTATATGAAGGGATAGTCCGAAATCGGTGTTTTCGGTGTTTTTAAAAGATAAGAAACATATTTTTGAATGTGGGGTCTGTTTTTGTGACGATAAGTGACACTGCAGTAGCGTAGCGAGGAAGGGGGGGGGGGCGGGAGGGGAGGCGGGGGGGGGGGGGAGATGGAGGGGGGGGGGCGGGGGGACATATGTTGGGGCGCCAAAATGGTTTGGAAAAATAAATTGAAAGGTTGAGGGGGGTTCAAATCGTAAGTTTGAGTGGGGGGGGGGGGGTGCACATCAAAAGTTTGAGGGGGGGGTTGAAAATCGAAATCTTGGGGGGGGGGGGTTAAAATCGAAAAGTTTGTCCCCGGGCGCCGGGAAGGCTCGCTATGCCTCTGAGTGACAGACGTGATGTTTTTTGATGGATGACCCCCGAAACCCACAGTTATCCAACGGATGACGGGTATTCTAGTATACTACTAAAAGTCAAGTTTGTTTACATGTTTGAATATTTATTTGTTTGTTTGTCCGATCGAAAATTGTGATATGTTCGACTCTATCTGGAAAGCTGTAAAATAGTATGCAGGTAGAGAATAATTTTTTAATGCAGACAGACTGTTGATCACAAATTTATTTAAAGACGTTAATTAATTAATTGATTTATTCATACGCAGAGTAACCCATTTTTTTTTAAAAAGATTTGAAAAGCCACTAGACTCGACGGAAACAGTGACGTCACATGAAGTGTTTATTTTTTTACATCGATAATGGCGGCCTATCGAAGAAGATTGTGTTTCCATTCCAATGTTTAACGCGTTCTAAAGCTAATTTTCTGTCGGCTTTAACTTTAACAATACGTCCGTTTGCTGTATTTATTACGTTCCAACACTTATATCAATTTTCAACTGTCTTTTTCATTTAGTTTTACAATAAATTTCTCTAGGTCTAAAGATCAGCTGTCGAAGGAAAGTTATTTATAGATCTAGAATCTAGAATCTAAAAATCTAGGTCAAATCCAAGATTTATTAGTTATAAATACAATAAAAAAAAACGAAACTTTAGCAAACCAGTCGTAAATCTAGAATATAGATAATTCTATCTAGATTTAGATAATAATGAGTTTCTATATACTAAACTATTTTAGACCTTTATTTTATATAAATCTTTTTTTGTATAGCTATGAAATATGCTAATTAGGAAATGCTGGATGCGGGGCCTATTTGCATAACTTAAGATTCATACGCGGCTTCTATACCGCTAAGTGTGCAAAATTATAGACGTAAACTCTAGATATAGCTCAGTCGTAGATCTAAAATATAGATAATTTTCTATCTAGATTTAGATAATAATGATTTTCTATATACTAAACTATTTTAGACCTTTATTATTTTATATAAATCTTTGTTTGGAATATGGTAATTTTGAAATGCTCACTCCGGGCCTATAAGCGTAGCTAATGATTAGATCTAGATTCTAGGTCTAGCAAGAAAAACTAATCATAAGAAGACTTAAGCAAAAGAGTCGTAGAATCTAGACTAGATCTAGATAATTCTGTCTAGATCTAGATAATTTCAGACCTTCTTTATTTTATATAAATCTTTGTTTGGCTAATTTAAGATAAAATTTAATTTGAAAGTTACTACTACTAGATCTAGATCTATGCGCGTAAGGAGACTCAAAGTATAGTATAAAACTTCACTTGTAATGTCAAGAGTAAATAGCTAACTTGGTAGTGTGGTCGGCTCTCATGTGGGTGGCACAGGTTCTAGACCAATTCGTCAATGATTTTTTTTTTTCAATTTTTTTTTTTAGATGTGAATAATAAAGTTGCCTATCTGAACTTGGCAGGATACAGGGCTGGTGAAGTAGAGTTTGTCTGTTTCTTTGTCCTAAGCATATGAAAGGATAGTGTGGTCAGAGACATGCTCGGCTGGAATCGTTTTTTAAACAATAAAACATGTTGTCTGAGACTTGGCGGGACACTGGGCAGGTGAAGTAGAGTTGAGTAGGTCACCTATGAAGTCAGTATATGAAGGGATAGTCCGAAATCGGTGTTTTCGGTGTTTTTAAAAGATAAAAAACAAATTTTTGAAAGTGGGGTCTGTTTTTTTTTGACGATAAGTGACACTGCAGTAGCGTAGCGAGGAGGGGGGGGCGGGAGGGGAGGCGGGGGGGGGGGAAAGGGGAGGTGGGGGGAGGTGGAGGGGGGGGGGCGGGGGGACATATGTTGGGGCGCCAAAATGGTTTGGAAAAATAAATTGAAAGGTTGAGGGGGGTTCAAATCGAAAGTTTCAGTGGGGGGGGGGGGGGGGGGTGCACATCAAAAGTTTGAGGGGGGGTTGAAAATTGAAATCTTGGGAGGGGGGGTTAAAATCGAAAAGTTTGTCCCCGGGCGCCAGGAAGGGTCGCTATGCCTCTGAGTGACAGACGTGATGTTTTTTGATGGATGACCCCCGAAACCCACAGTTATCCAACGGATGACGGGTATTCTAGTAAATCTTTAAAATTATTATTTTATACTCAAATAACGCCAAAGAAACATACATTAATGCTAATTTATACTATCATTATAACAAAGAAGTACTTTACTTTAGTTAATAGCATTATTTTTCAACCACTTAGGATTACGCCTTAGGTTTTAATTTAAATAATATCACAAAAGGTTACCGTCTACACAGCCATTTTATGCCACGAACGAACGAACGCCCTAAAGGTGCTATTCTAATACGCAGTAAGAATAAGTAAAATGTAGAATATGAGTTATCTTGCGTCTGTGCTGTTGTGTTGTATAGTATCCGCCATCTTGCAATGCAAATATCAATAGAGTATGGGCTACTAGAAGTTGTACAGGATCTTGCTAGCACCTGAACACAATAATATGATGCCTTAAGTACAAACAAAATGTCATCCGTTGTTATAATCAATAGAGTATACAGTGACTTAGATAAGGGATTCAAGGGAGTGGTCATACGCTGATCTTTATATATATATATATATATATATATATATATATATAGTTTACATACACCATTTGTATGTATCCAGTGTATATATTTATTTATATATACATATATATATATATATATATATATATATATATATATATATATATATATATATATATATATATATATATATGTATATATATATATATATATATATATATATATATATATATAAATATATATATATATATATACCGAGATAGAGTTGGGGCTGTGAATTGGATAGAGCAAAAACGGCATTACAACTACTTTTTCAGTATAAAAGAAAAATAAATTAGATAAAACGACATTTTAAGGAAATCCCGTGAAATTATTTTAATTAGGTTTGAGAAAAAAAAAGATTCATCTGGGAAGTAATTAAACAAAAATCTCCAGCGAACACGTCAGGTGGGTGGGTGTTAGATTATTAGAGCGTTAATCCGTCATTTCGTGGAAACTGGCGTGTGAATGTAAACCACCATCACGTGATACTAATGAGACTCATTACCTTGTCATCTACATCATCAACATATGTTGGGCTATTAAGTTAACCAGTTGGACGGCCCTAGTGCCTCCTACACGGGGATAGGGAAATTAACCAGTTGGTCCCCTCATCAACATGTGTTGAGCTATTAATT